GCAAGAACCTGCCGTGAAAACACGACGGACAACCAAAACAAGATGTATCCGTACCTCGATGTCTTTGCCCTCTTCGCCTTCTTCCGCGCCATGACCAGAGTAGAGAATATCTCGACTGTTCTGAACAGAGTAGCTACTCCGTGGTGGCTAGGGACCGCATTGTTGCCACAGCCTGGCCACAGCCCTGCTAACACATCATCCCCGCCGACCGGGCCCCCTTTTGTGCTTGCAGCACGCGGCGAGCAGCGCGGGGCCCAGCGAGGCCCAAGCGAGGCCCAGCGAGGCGCCGGTGAGGTAGGCATCCCAACGCACGCCGGCGTGGCGACGGCGGCCTCTCTGCAGGCGTCCTACTTCGCCCTGCCGAGGCGACGCGACGCGGCGACGCGGTCAGCCTCAACACAATGAGGAAGGGACGGGTCAGCCCTGCGGCCCTTCGGTCTAGCCCTTCGGTCGGGCGGGCCGGCCGCCCTGCCGGCGCCCTCATGCGATAAATTCCTGGACGCCGGCGCACACACACACGCGCACACACACGCGCGGACTGAAAAGCAGCTTGCGCGGTGGCCAGGCACGATCCTCCGAGTCCATCTGAAGAGCGGGGGCCAGCAGAGGACAACCTCCACCCTCCGCTCCGGCCCCGCCAGGGCCCCACGGCCCCGCCAGAGCCCCACGGCCCCACGCCACGGCATCTTGTGCGCATCATCCCTCGGACCGTACGAGCCACGCAGCAATGGAGGGAGGGGAGGAGGAGGCATAAAATTGGGCGGACGGCTGGAGAGGAAGGGGAGCTCCAACCGCCCATAGACACACACCAACACACACACATGCACGCGCGCGCACACACAGAAACACACATATACACGCGCGGTCGCGCGAACACATAAGGCGACTGGGGGCACTCTTCCTTGGCTCGGCCGCGCGGTTCCATTTTTGTAACGCAATTGGACGCCGAGGCGCGGCTCAGACCCGTGCTGCTGGCTGCCGTGCTGGCCGAGGCCGTGGTGGTCATAGTGGTGGACCGCGTGGTGGAGTCACGCAGTCGCGGGGCGGCGCAGGGGCGGCGCAGGGGCGGGGGAATCTCCTCAGCCGGCCAGCCCTAGCCTTGCCAGCCCGGAACAGCCTGGCCTCTACGTGCCGGTGTAAGCCACATTGGGCTGGGCCAGGCCGGCCGCGCGACCACATTGTCGGCGGAAAATAGAAAGCTGCTGGAAGGGCAAACAAAGGGGCGGCCGCGGCCTCGCGGGGCGGATGTAGTTACAGGCGAGCCGATACAGACAATGGCGGCAGGTGGGACGGGGGCGGCCGGGGGCGGCCGGGGGCCCAGCCCGGGGTAGCAGGTTGTAGTCGGGGGTGCACGCGGGGGCCGCGGCCGATGGGGTGAGGGGCCTTCGCAGGGGATGGGGTTCGCGGGGGTGTACCGATAGGTTGGGCTACGGCCCGGCCCGGCATGGCACGGCCAGGGGGAGGAGGGTGTCTCTGAAAACGCGGCCGCTGGTGGTGGTGCTGCATGCCCATGAATTGCAAATGCAGGAAGAGGGTGGGGGCAGCCCGGGGCAGCCTCCCGGGGGGCAACCACCACATGACCACGCACGCGCGCGCGACCACTCACACAAACACGCTGTAAGAGAGAAAGGTTCTACAGCGCGCCACCACTTACTACCCCCCGCGGAGCCGCAGCACCGCGCACCACTCCCTCAGGGCGATGGCGCGCCATGGATGGCCATGGATGGGCGCAGCAAGACAAGGCGGTCTCGGGGGACGTCAAGAACGAGAGCGACGAGCGCGCGACCAATTGCGACCAATAGCTTGCGAAGGTATATCCAGAGAAGATTGAGTACCAGCGCAGGCAGGGCTCAGGCTGTGGCTCAGTGGTTAAGAGCACGTTGTGGGAAGCGACAGGTCCCGGGTTCGGGACCGGTAGTATATACAATTTTTTCGGCGACCAATTGCTTTGGGAGGTATATCCAGAGAAGATTGGGTACCAGCGCAGGCAGAGCGGGTGCTATGGCGTCCCGGTGGCTCAGTGGTTAAGAGCATGATGTGGGAAGCTGCAGGTCCCGTGTTCGGGACCGGTAGTATATGCAATTTTTTCGGCGACCAATTGCTTGGGGAGGTATACCCAGAGAAGATTGAGTACCAGCGCAGGCAGGGCGAGTGCCATGGCGTCCCGGTGGCTCAGTGGTTAAGGGCATGATGTGGGAAGCGGCAGGTCTCAGGTTCGAAACCGCTCAAAGTAAAATTTTTTCGGGGCCAGATTTCTCGAACGGCAGCTCAAGAGGAGTTGCGACATCGCCGCTGACAAGCTGGTTCGGTGGCTGAGCGGTCAGGGTACGAAAGCAACACAATTTGAACAAAAAATTAACAACAATTTATTGTGGTAAAAAATGTACATGGAAACAGGGACAGGAAACACAACAAGCCAAAATATGTGGCGTTTTCCCCTCTTTAAAAAAATGTTACAGATGGAATGTTTTTTTGTGAGAGCAGCGACATATTTTGGTTCACTGTGGCAAGAAGAGAGCGCAATACTTAAGATTAAACAACAACAAAAATTCTGTACACAATAAAATTATTTCTTAACAACTCAAATGAACACCAGTTGTTTCGCTTCCTTCAGAAATGTCTCAGTTCTATACAGTTCAACTGGCTCTTTTAATTTACGGAGAAAAGCATTTCGGCAGTCAAAATTTCATAAACGTAGTTTCTGTCCGCGTAATCGAACGCGCTTTTTTTTACGGACTATACATAAAAAAACAGGACTTACAGCTATTCTTTTCTTGGAACCTATGCATCTGTATGTGGCTGAGCTCCAATTCAGTTATTCCCGTGACTTAAATTTTCTCCGGCCTAAATTTTGAATCGCGTGTCCTTGATGCTGGGCACTGACTGGACTCTGCATGGAGCGACTTCGCTTTCGTACTTTCGTACCGGGCCTGGCTGGTGGTGGCGGTGCAGTGCACCTCCTTCCCGTACACACTCACACACACACACGGCCGCACAAATCGCAGCGAGAATGGCATTTTCTCTGTTGCTTTACTGTTGGCGCTCCCGATCGCGCATTATTCATGGCCGTGCAAGCAGTGCGAGTGAGTGCGAGGTGCACCCATGAAAAAGGGCTCGGCGCGCAGCGTAGCGCAGCGCGGTGCGGCGGCGAGAACCAAAGAAGGAGAGAGTAGAAATCAAACGCTCATTTTCTCACGGCGAGACGCCCGACGAAGCGAGGAACCAAGGAACGGAGGACGGAGGGGCGCGGAGGTGAATTAACAGTACTATAACAATGCCCCCCACCCCAGGATTTTTCGGGTTCAGTCACGGCCTTTTGGGATAGAATTTAAAAATATACAGACAAATAATATTCAAGTTGGAGTGTAGGCCACACACAGATGCACGCGTCCCTCATTAGTCGGTTGCAATAAATAAATACGTACAGGCTAAGAATGGCGAACACGGCCCAGCAAAGGGAATTCTCATTGCAATCATTATTGTTAACGATCGTGACTGGATTTTATTGCTTGTTTTTTTTTTCTGAAACGCTAACTGGGCACGTGCTCTCCTGACAACGGTTCTGTACAAACTAAACACTACCTACTTATTTTTACAGAGTACATCTACTCACCCACGTCGATATACCAGTCAAAGTCAAAACTGTGAAGTGATACAACAGTTATAATTTACCCGAAAGCTAATTTCAAAATTTTAGAATCTCCAGTTTTTGTTTTACTGTTTCTGTTTTTTAAACCAAAATTTAAAAAAAAAATTCTGGGTTGTTTCGATATAAAATTTTCACAGATGGCAAGTCTGAGTGGGACCGACAGACACGATATAAATAGAAGGGGCCGGGTGGCGCATCTAGTTTGTACAACAAGGAGGAAGCGAGTGTGAAAAAACAAATCAATATTTTACTTGAGCGGAGGGAATTGGCCTCCCCTTCACTGGGAGATAATTAGGGGCCTCGGCAATCTACATAAAGATCAAAGCGAATCACGCGGGGAGGTTCACCGGGGAGGTTCACCCGGCAGGCCGGCAGGGACACCCTCGGCCGGGCCGTGCCGAGCCGGGCCGAACCACGCCGACGTCTCAAGGCTCTCTATTGACAAACTTTCAGCAGTTCGGCCAGGACAGGACAGGCCGGGACAGGCCATCGGAGACAGGGGTTGACGAGGAGCGAGAAGAAGAAGAAGAAGAAGTTGCTTCCACCTCGGAGGAGTTTGAGCATAATGGCTTAACAGTTTCACGGGGCCGTCCGGGCCGAGGCGCGGCCGCCTAGAAGGCCTAGAAGGCCCAGAGGGCCTAGAACAGGCCCACCAACTGGTCGGGGCGCTCCGGGTTGAGCGCCAGCACCTTGGACACGATGTTGAGGTCCTCCTGCGGCGCCGAGATGCCCGACTGGTGCAGCAGCGTCTGCAGCTGGCCGTCCAGGCCGCGCTGCCTCTGCGGGTGCGGCTGCAGCTGCTGCAGCGGCTGGCTGTTGAAGAACAGGTTCCTGCTCTGCTCGAAGTTGTTGAAGCCGAAGTTGGCCGTGGAGCCGAAGGGCTCGTGCCTGTTGGGCCGCGAGTTGAGTGGCTGGCTGAGGGGCGGCGCCTGCTGCGGCGCCACGGGTGCGAACGACTGCGCCGAGACCTGCAAGCGAGTCGAGTGTCAGCGAGTCGGAAACAGGAAGCGACGCTCAGGGCGGGTGGATTCAGTTTTCACAGTACCTGGATGGCGGGCTGGATGGTGGGCTGCTCAGGCTGCGACGGCTGGAACGACGGGAACTGCTGGAAGCTGGTGCCGAAGCCGCTGCTCTGCTGGAAGCCCGGGTGGAAGCCCGCCTGCTGCTGCGGAGGGAAGATGTTGTTGCTGAACACGTTGTTGTTGTTGAGGGAGGCCGGCAGCGGGGGTGGCTCCTGCTGGAAGCTGCGGTACGTCAGCCGCTGCTCCTCGGAGGGCTCGCGCGGCGCGGAGGCGGCGGCGGGGGCGGGGGCGACGGCCGAGGGGCCGGTGGAGGCGGCGGGGGCGGCCGGGGCGGCGTTGAACTCGACGCTGCGCTGGAAGGTGAGGTCCAGGGAGGCCAGCCGCTGGCGCTCCTGCTCCTGCAGGCGCAGGCGGTGCTGCTCCTCGTAGAACTGCTGCAGCTGGCGCTGCCGCGCGTTCTCCGCCTCGATGATCTTCTGCTGCCGCTCGCGCTCCAGCGCCTCCAGGATGGACTGCTTCCGCGCGCGCTCCAGCTCCAGCGTGCGCTGCTTGTCGTACTCCTCGATCTGCTTCTGGCGCTCCGTGTCGCCCTGCGAGTGGTGGATCTGCACGGCGGCCTCGGGGGTCGAGCTCTGCGCCACCTGCCGGCGGAGAGGGGAATGAGGGAGGCGGAACGGCGTCGCAAAGTCAAGTCGTATTGAGGGGCTGTACTCACCAGGGTGGGCTGGGCGGTGGGCGCGGGCACGGTGGTGGGGGGCTGCGTGATGTAGGTGGAGTCCGCCACGGACGCGGCCGTCACCCTCGCCTGCTGCTGATGGTGGTGCTGCAGGTCATGCTGTTGCTGCTGTTGGTCCTGCGGCGCGGCGGTGGCGGCGGCCTTGGCGAGGTGGGCCTTCTTGAGCTGGCGCTGGCGCTCCTGCTCCTGCGTGAGGAACTGCTGCAGCTTGAGCAGCTGCTGCTGCTTGGCCTGCAGCTCTTGCAGCCGGCGAAGCTGCTCCTCGAGCAGCAGCTGCTGCTGCTTCAGCTCCTGCTCCTCGTCCAGCTTGGTGGCGACCGTGGGGGAGGCCGTGGCCGAGGCCGTGGCGGACTGCTGCTTGCGGTACAGCGGCACGATGCGCTGCGGCGTGCCGTGGGCGTCCTGGTGCAGCGTGAACGCCGCCAGCAGCGGCGCCTGCAAGAGGAACACCGTCAATACTACCATTCCCCATCAATGAAAAATATTACATAAAAATATGCGGCGAAAAAAAAATGATAAAAAATTTTGACTTGTGCATCAGCTTTATCGCAACTTTATTACACGTACCTGGAAGATCTTGATATCCTCAGTGGTGGAGGCCGGCTTGGCCGTGGTGATGGTGGTGATGGCGGCCTCCACGGTGGTGTCCTGTGTGGGCAGGGCCGTGGTGTCCGTGGGCGTCTCCGCCGTGGGGATGGTGTTGGCGGCGTTCACGCTGCGCTGCTCCTGCTCCTTGACGCCCTCCTTGCCGATGCTGTTGTCGCGGCCGTCGTCCTGGACGGGGTCGGGGCTCTGGAAGAAGAAGCCATCCACCTGCCTGCCCGTGGGGTTGGCGGCGGGGCCGGACGCGGGGGCCGACGGCGGCGCCGCCGTGGTCGGGTACTCGTCGGTGGGGTTCACCGTCTGGTAGTAGTCCGTGGTGGTGGGCACGGGCTGCTCCGTGGTGGCGTTGTAGTTGTGGTTGCTGTAGGGGTCCTGCGTTGTGTAGTCCGTCTGGAAGTTGAGCGCGAGGCGCGTGTCGTCGTAGTTCTGCGAGGGCAGGGCGGTCTGCAGCTCCAGCCCGGCCTCCGCGGCCTGGTTGTACTGCTGCCCGGCGTCGGTCTGCTGCTGCTGCTCGGCGTTGTAGTTTTGTTGTTGTTGCTGCTGGTCAGCATTGTAGTTTTGTTGTTGCTGGTTGTAGTTCTGCTGCTGCTGGTTGTACGGCAGCTGGTGCCCGTTGTACTGCTGGTCCTGCGTCGGCGCGGGCTGCTCGGCGTACGCGTTCACCTGCGTGCCGGCGGCGGGGACGGAGCCCGGGTGGCTGCCGCTGATCTCGTTGGCGTACTTGATGTACTCGGCCATGTTGGCGGGGATGTCGCGCTGCTGCGGGTTGTGTTGCTGCGGTTGTTGTTGCTGCTGCTGTTGTTGTTGCTGCTGCTGCTGCTTCTGCTGCTGCGCGGGCGGGCTGTCGGTGGGGAAGTTCTCGTCCATGTAGTTGCGCAGGAAGTTGTTCTGCTCGCGGGCGTCCCGCAGCGCCTGCTTCTCCTTGGCGTTGAGCTCGGAGGCGGCCTCCTCCTGGGCGCGCTTGTCCAGGTCCTCGGCCTCCAGGTGGATGAGGACGCGCAGCAGGGCGCGCCGCAGGGCGGGGTCCTTGAGCACGGCGGGCGCGGTGCGGTGGTACTCGCCGATGACGGGCACCCCGTTGGACAGCGCGCGGCCGGCCTCCAGGGCCTGCTGCTGCTGGTACTCGGCCTCCAGGTGGTACAGCGCGCGCAGCAGCGACCGCCGCAGGTAGGGGTTCAGGTTGATGGGCGTGCGTCGGAGGTCGTTCTCGGCGGACGGTGACAGGATGGACGCCGTCTGGTCCTGCCTCGGCCCGGCCTGGACGGCCACCACCGCGGCCAGCATCGCCAGCGCCAGCACCTGGAACACGAGCACGGCGTTGAGTCCACGCACCAAGAACCTGCGCCGTCCATCACTGCTTCTTGCTCGCGGAGGGCCCGTGCCCTGATTGCTCAGGCCTGCAGGGCCTTCGCAGTGCCCCGGCAGGGCCGCAGGGCCGCAGGGTGACGCAAAAAGGGAGTCCGCCTGCCCAGCCAGCCTTCCGCCCGGCGCCTCCAGCCTTTAGCAAGACGGATGTGACGGCCAGCCGACAGGACTAATCCCTCATGCCAGTCCGGCCCGGCCGTCCCCGTCTGCCCGCCGGTCTGTCTCTGTTAGTCTGTTGTGACGCGCGGTTAGGTGGTCGGCCGGTAATTCGCGCAAAGGCCGTACTTAATCTGTCAAATTAAATTTCACTTTGGCGGGCCGCGGCAGTGGCAGTGCAGGCAGTGCCAGCCAGTGCCCCCTAATTGACTGGCTAGGCTAACCAGGCTAACCAGGCCCTAAAGAAGACGCGCTTCCCACGACGCGCCGCGTGGGGGGGGGGGGGGGGCGTTCGCCGCGTTCCCCGCGTTGTCGGCGGCAGGAGAATCGATCACCGCGGAAGGAAAAGAAGGAATCGATGATTCAATTCAACTCGATTCCTTCCGAGGAGAGCAAAATCAAACAAAAGAAAGTGTTAACAGCTTTACCAAGTTTCGAATGGAACTCGTCCATCAAGTGTTTTCTTCTTCGTTTTTTTTTCTGTTTTTGGGTGGGTTTATTGAACTGGCTGGCGCGCAGTGGGGGAGATAAATGATGCTTAAGAGGCTCTTTTAGTTAACATTTGCCAGCACCGCGCCTCGCGACTGTGACAGATCGCCGTGTTCTCGCCGATGGGGCCACCAATCAGACGTGGGGCGGGGCGGGTTGGGGCGGAGTGGGGCGGGGTGGGGCGCCAGACGAGGTTAATGGCGGCAGAATATGAGAGGGACGCCGCCGCTGGCAGCAGCTGGAAAGAACTTCTCTTTTAATCAGTTAAAATATCAATCTGCTTAGTTGTCTCTGCGAGTCTGCCGATCGCCCTTGGGGTCCGCTTGAGGCCGGACTGGCCGGGGCGCGGTGGGGAGCGGCGGGGCGCGGCGGGGTGGGGTGGGGTGGGCCACGTGACAGTGATCCACACCTCCACCGCGCACGCAGTCACGCAGCACGCGGCCGCGCTCCCCGCAGGCCTCGACGCAGGCACTCGCCCACGCCGCTGGGCTAGCCAGTGCCGGGCTGGGCTGGCCGCGCCGTGTCTGCCCGAGCGTGCGGTGGCGGCAGAGGGCCACCTCGGCGCCAGCCCCAGCCAGCCCCTAATGGGTGCGAGCGAGATGGAAACACTTTGCCTTGGGGTTCGTTGCGTCAGCCCGGTCCAGGGTCCTAGGGGAGGGCGGGGCAGGGCTGGAAGGGCCGGGCCGGCCGGCCGGGTGGTGTGTAATAACGTCCAGGGCGGCAGGCACGGCACGGCACGGCACGGCCAGGCAGTCCCGCCTAGCGGACTGGAGAATTAGTTCGTCACAGAGGGATGGGCCGGGCGGCCCTCTGGCTGGAAATACCTCGCCGCTGGCGGTGCGTGAAGGAAGCGGACCCGGCCGAAGGCACCACCTGCCGCGCCCCGCCAATCCAATACGGTGACACGCGTGAGCGCGTGCACTGTGTACACGACACCGGGGTCGGACGAGAACATCGATGCGCAGACTCCGTGACTCCTAACACCGAGAACCGGTGTCTGAGTCCGAGTCCCAGTTTCACTCTGCTCTTTTTGATACGCGACTCCGCGAAGCGCGAAGGACTGCGCGTCGGTCCCTCAGGCGAGTTTGTTATCGGCTGCGAGACCGTGAGAAAGAGAGTGAGCGGAGAGTGAGAGTCGTGTTGACAGAGTGCCGTCCACACACGGACGAGTGTCCGGACTGAAAACACGGCGCTCTTCGCTTCCACGCCGGTGCACGTGCAAGTACGGCACGCCGCGCCGCCCCGCCCCGCGCCGCCCCCTGACCCCGGCACGACCCACCTCGATTAGCTCCGACAGAGTTTCTCGCTGCTGTGTGTGTGTGTGTGTGTCTGTGTGTGTGTGAGTGAGGCGAGAGAGGGTGTCCGTTTAAAGTGCCACCATTCATTCCAGTTTCGCGCCGCAGCCGCACGGCGCGGCATGCTGTGCCGCAGGGCCTGAGCCATTCTTCCCCGCCACCGTCATAGCCTGCATGGCCTGCACGGCGAAGGCCTTTAGGGCCGGGAGGGTTGCCTATCTCGCTTCGCTACTGCTACCTTTCGCTGCGATAAGCGGGGCCGCGGGGCCGGCGAGAGCAGGGCGAGAGCAGGGCAGGAGCGCCCGGCGGGTAGGCAGCCTCCCACATGCAGCGCACGCGCGCGGACGGGCGGCCTACCTCGCAGGCGGCTGGCCGGGCTGGCTGGCCCTCTGGCCCTGCTTCGCCGCCACCGCGACGTGCCGCCCAACTTCTGAGCCGCGATAAGGACTCGGCGACGGCGGCGAGGCGGCACACTGGTAACCGGAAGGCGGCGCACGGAAACGGGGTCCAGGATTCAGGGGAGGGAGTGGGAGGGGCGACCTCGGCCTCGTGTGGGTGAAGGTGCCCTGTCGTGGCCGGGGCGCCCCGCACGTCCCTAAATGTTGCGCCTGGCACGATGGAGGGACCGGCCTGCCTTACATTGTCGCCGTAGCGCGTGCTGCGCGCCGTGCTCCCGGACGCAACGTGCCCGGCAAGGCTACAAGCCATGCCTTGTGATTGTCCCCCAATCCCCGCGTTGACGGCGGGGCCCTCAAAACCGAGCCAGGAAGTGTTTCTCTTTCCCCTTGATTAAATTCGGCCGCTCGGCAGCTGCCCAACATGACCCGGGCGCGCGGGGCGGCGCTCTATACGGCCACGGCCCGGGATGACAGTAACAGCTCTCTTACTGGGAACGGCCGCCGTCCCTGCCAGCCTGCCTGCAGGCGGAGGCTCCCATTTTAGCCAGCCTCTGTGTGCACGTTTACACGTTCGACATTCACACCATCGCCCGGGGACACAAACAAACTGATGCAAAACATAAATGTTCATTTCCTCCGCGACATGCGAGATTGTGCGCGGAAAACTCGAACAAGAAGAGCGTGCCAAAAATAAAAGAAAGTGGAAAATGGAAGAAAATAAAGATGGTCGTAAATTAATAACGCGCGGGTGGCCGTTTAGTCCATTTAGGCGGCGGCCGTTCAACTGGGTAATAATCGCGAAGGGCCCCGCGTCCTTCGTCCTGCGTCCCTCGTCCTGCGTCCCTCGTCCGCGCAGCCAGCCGGCCGGCCGGTCGCCATGGCAACGGCTTCATTTCGGACCTCCATAAAAGCACCCCGTCGTACATACGGCACGGCGACAACCCCCGGCCAGGTGCCTCGCCCCGCCCCACCCCACCACGCCCCGCCCCGCCAAACGGCCACAGAACGCACTTCCGGAGGCGGGTTCGCTGAAGCGCCGGAGCGCTGGAACACATGCATGCAGAGAACCCTTATTTCTCCAGCCGGCTCACCAGCGCCGCGCCGTGCCGTGCCGCGCCGTGCCGCGCGCGTCTGTCCCGTTTTCGCGAGGCAAGTAAGTGCGTCAGCCCGGAGCCTGGCCCGGAGCAGCGCGGGGCGTAAGCACGTTATCAGTGAAGCGAGAGAGAGAAAGAGGGAGGGAGAAAGGGACTCGAGTCGAAGCCAAGGCCCCACTGCGTATAGCATTCCGAGCCTCGCAGAGACACTCCACTTCCTTTCCCAGGCAAATCACGTCGGAGTTGTTTTCTTATCGAATTCAGCGCCCCGCAACAAACAAGGCCGACAGGTGGAATGGACTGCTGAGGAGCGCGCGCCACCACGCGCCACCACGCGCCACCACGCCGACGCCGGGGCTACTTGATGGGCTACTTCGCGGCCAGGGGGGCCAAGCTGAAATATCGCCCGGGGAATGGATGGCGATGGCAGGCACAGGGTGAAAGGAATTTGGGGCCGCAGCCCCTCCGCCCCTCCGCCCCGCCCGGCAGGGCAGGCTGGGGGCACGCTGGGGCCAAGGCCTGCGCCCTGCAACGAGTAAGTAGCCCCAGCGAGGCCCCGAGGGGGGCAAATAATTTTATCAGAAACGATAGATGCTGCACGGCGGGGCGGTGGAACGCGCGCCTCGCCCGATCGCCTCGCATCGACAGCTTAAACAACAACAACATCATCAACAACAACAATAACAAACAGTGCCGCACTGCCAGCAAAAGCTGGACCAGCGATACCCCGCGCGCGAGAGGCCTTTCGCAGTGGTCTTCCGCGTGGCGTCGTGGCGTCGCGGGGTACAGACGACGGTGCCAGCGCCAGTGGCCGGGCGGGTCGGTCCTTTCCAGACGAAACTCCGCGAGACCGTTCCGAGCACGGTACCGTATCGAGTTCCCACTGCCACGCCGTGATAAATGAGTTTGCGCGACGCCGGCGCCGGGAGTCGAACCCGGGGCGGCCCGGGGCGCCAGCCGAGAGTGTGCGCGCGTGGAGAAAACAGAGCCGGCAGTGAGACACCCACCTGTCTTTTGGACCGAGCCGTCCATCGGTGTGGAGGGGCACTCAATCAATTAGATTGCCGCTCGGTGTGAGTGAGTGGCGAGTCCGGTTCTCTGATTGGCCGGCTCGCGGATGCAATCCACACCTCGCTCCGGGACCGGCGGGGCGGGGCGGGGCGGCGAGCAAGGCGAGCCCCCCCAGGGATTACATGCCAGAGATGGGCAAGCGGCATCCAGATAAAAGGATGTAATAGGGCAGCGCTGTCGTACGGCGTGGCGTGCCGAGCCGAGCCGGGCCGCATTGGCATATCGTTTCCATACACAGGTATTACAAGTGGGGCGCGGTGGCGGGGCGGGGCGGGGCGGGGGCGGGGCGGGGCGCGGCGAGGCAGCCAGCGCGGGCACGACCTGGCGCGGCGGCGGGAGGCTGAGCAGCGCATTCCTATTCCAGAAACTCAGCACCGGTAAAAATAAAAAAAGAAAACCGAACGAAAAGTAAACTTGGATTCGACCCCGCGCCCCGCGTTGGGACCGGCACTGTCCCGGCACTATTTCGGAGGGTACTTGAGCCATTTTCCATCAGGCCTGCTGCCCCTGCCTGCCCCTGCCGCTCATGACTCATGCATGGCGAGCCTCCCGGGGCTGGCGGGCTGGCTGGCGGGTGGCTGGCGGCTGGCGGCGGCCACGGCGCGCACCTGGGGTGGCCAGCGCGGCCAAGGCGGCTCGGCTGCCAGCTCGGCCGGGGCGGCTCGGGGCTGCCGGCTCGGCCGGAGCGGCTGTCGCGCGGTGTTATGTCTGATTTATCGAGCGCGGGCCGCGCCAAGTAGCGCCACATTCTAGCATGTCGTCCAGGCCCTGCAGGCCGCGGGCCGCGAGGAGTAACCGGAACGCAGCGCGCCGCCAGCCAGCCTGGCCGGGGTGATTAGTCACTGGCTGACCTCTGGGAGAAAAAATGGCTCGCAAAAAGCTGGCTCGGCAGGGGCTGGGGCGGCTGGGGCTGGTTTCGGCCGCGGGGGAAAGGTTGCCGACGACGACGGCAACGACCGCGGCTCTTAGCGCGCCCCTGCGAGCACGCCGTCAGAGAGCGCACCGTCAGCGAGCGTGGTGTAACCACTTGAGGTTATTGGTGCGGGTATTTGCCGTCCGCTTCGCAGCTTCGCACCACTTCGCACTTGTTGCACTGGGAGACTTGGCCCGCATGTTATGTTCCACGTGTACAGTGTACACACTCGGCGAGCGCACACAGTCGTCAATTATGCAAAACAGGACTCTGTCAGTGCAGTGGGCCCGAGAGACGAGGAGGTGGTGGGCTTGAAAACCGCGCGCCACAATTTGCAGCGTCGTTTCTCCGGGCCTCGGGAAATTGGTCCGGGCTTCGACTTCTTTTCCAAGCGAGTGCGGGCCATCGGTTTATCGACTCGACTTCCGGCCGAGTTTGCCTCATCATCATCGGCGCCGACTGCCGGATTACCGCCTGGCTTTGCTGCTTTGCGGGGTGGCCGGGCAGCGGGGCCCTCGGCGGCGAGAAGGCGAGGCCAGCAGACTGTTTCAGAGAAACGTTTTATCGGCCTGTCTCTCCCGCACTCTTACGGGGCGCCCGGTCAGTGCGAGAGAGACCTTCCCCGAGAGCCCCATCGCCTCGACGCACTGTTTCGGGCCACCGCCGCTGGCGAGGCCGCTGGCCACCACCCCGCACCCCACTCCCCGCGAACGCGCTGCGAGCGCCGAACCGCCGAATTTGGGGCGGCGGTTTTGCCGGCGGCGCTAAAAATAGCCCTGAATCGAGTTTGAAACTCATGCAAAGGACGACACGACAGGACACCACCGCCGGCAGGGGCGGGTCGTCCACTGTGTGCTGTTTTTTTCCGGCCGAAAGTCATTTGGCTGCCACCACCGCGGCGAGACAGCTGGGACAGGAGGGACAGCGAGCCGGGCCGGGCCGTGCTTTGCCGTGCAGCTGGAGGCTATCAGATGGCCGGGCCGTGACGAGCGCGACAGGCAGGGCGAGGCGGGCAGGGCAGGACCCGGCAGGACCACTCGGCGGCGTGTCGGCACGTCCAGGGCACGTCCGCGTCACCGCCAACCGACGCCCCTTCCGAATCCCAGTGAACCCTAAACTCCGGTGGAGGCGGCTGCGCGGTGGCGGCGCCGTGTTCACGTTCCGTTGCCGGTTTCGCGCACTGCTTGACGGGCTCCCCGTGTCACCGCCTCGACGGCAAAACTTTTCCGCCACTCTGGCCGAGCACGGCGCACGGCGCGCAGCGCACGCAACAGCGCCGCGCACAACGTGAAGGGCCACTTCGTGATCGCGGCGGCGAGGAGGACGGCGTTAATGGCGTGGCGGCGGTGGCGGTGCGTCGCCACGCGGCCCAGCGGCTCGCCCAGCGTCCACCGTGTTGCGGCTGGTTGCGGCTGCCTAGCCCGCAGCCCGCGGCTTCAAGTTCGTGTGCTCGCAATGCGATCGGGCGGCGATAGTCGGCGCCACCACGCGCCAGTTTGCACGCCGACACAAAAGTGCAGCGGAGGCTATCGGGGGAGCATCGGCTGGGCTGCGCTGCCCTGTCGTTCGCCCCGTCGTTCGCCCACTGTGGCAAAAACCTACAGAAAATTCTGTAAGCAGCATGTGGGAATTCTCCGTAGCCCCCTTATCAATATTGTCCGTAGGCTCTTACAGTATTTTCCGTAGGACCGCACAGTATTCTCCGTAGGACCTTACAGTGATCTTCGTAGGACTATACAGTCTTCCAGGTCCTACGGAGAATACTGTGCGGACTTACAGAGAATACTGTACGGCCCTACGGAGAATACTGTAAGAGCCTACGGAGAATATTGATAAGAGGGCTACGGAGAATCCTGGCAAAAAAATTAACAGAATTTTCCGTACCTTTTTGCCACAGTGCCCTGTCGGGTCGTTGGCGGGGCGAGCCGGCGTCGTGTTCGCCGCCCCGCTGCTGATGCCATCCGTCGCCCAACTTGTCCGGATCGCTTTTTTTTCCGGCCTCGGACACTGTTTTTTGCCGGTCCCCGATCGCGGCTTCGCGACTCGCGGCCGCGTCCAACCTTGTACGGCGTGACAGGAAGAGCCCTCCAGCCTGCCGGCCAGCGTGGCGGGGCGGGGCGGCGCGGGCCGGGGATCCTCCTTATCGTCATCTAGGCTTAGCCAAACACGGCGCGGCTTGGCGCGGCTTGGCGGGGCTTGGCGGGGCGCCGAGAGAGACAAATAACACGCGCC